TCCCCTTCCCCTTCCCCCCCCCAAAAAAAAAAAAAAGTAGCAATTTGAAGATTAAAATTAGCTATAAAACCTAGTATAATTTTGCTGGTAGAATCTGATTTTTGCCTAAAGCCCTCAACTGTTAATGTTTGGTAAGCTTCTGTGGTACTATAGTTATCCACCTCCAGGTTCTTCATGGGTATTTTCATTATTTTGTTATAAGCAAGAATCATCTTATTCATATATGTTTTTTACATATGTAATTGTTAAGTAAACTCCACCCACCATCTTCATCAAAATATTTCCCTATATTTCCTATATTTTGTTGGAATCTATGCAGTCCCCATCTGTGTAGCAGTATGATGTTCCTTCTTTTTTTTGATTTAATGACAGGAGTATCAATATCAGTTAACGTGTATCTCGATTAATTCTCTCTCTTTGATCCGATTAAAAATAGGTCATCTACATCGAAATTAGGGTATTCATAATGAATAAATACCTCGCGATTTGGTCTTAAGAAATTACCAAGATTCAAACTTAAGACGTCTGACTTTACAATCCGTCCTTATTATTACTTGAGCTACTCCTTGAAATTATGATGTTCCTTCGGCTACTAAATTTACTCTTATCTAGTTCTTATGTCATAAGAAAACCTGTCATATTTGTTTCTGTGACGGTTAAAAAAAAATGTAATTTGTATTTAATTTGGAGACTCAATTGATTAAATATTAAATCTAGTGGTTATATCGAATCGAGTTCCCAAATAAATTTAAATAGTATTATTTGATGTGACTCATAGTTACACCATAAATCTTGGATGCATTCAATCTTCGACCAACCACGCAAGGAAGTTCAACCGAGATTTTATGTGGTCATTACAGTACTACTCAAACCCAGCCAAATTAGTTCTTATCTTTTTAAATCCATGGGCTATGTGACATCCCATCCAACCATATACACCACAAACAAACAACAGCCAGCTATCCCCAACTGTACAAAAAGAAACAGTAGAAAGAACAGAACAAACCAACGTTATACCACTCCGAAGACTACTTTATTATGTTCACACCGGCGGAACTGAGTGTCCCAATTGAAAAGATATCGGATCAGACGGCGACAATACGTGGTATTAATGATACGGTGTCATCAATTAATAATAAACTATTAAATAAATTTAATGGGCTGCTCTACTGTTTTACTAACTATCAATAATAGTAAAATTCACTATTTATTTTTTTAAAATTAGATAATAACCCCACGGGGCAACAATAACGTAATGTCACCGTTAACTCCAATATTTACGCTGCCCAATTGGTTTATATGCTCATTGCTCACCCATCATTCATATTATATATAGAGAGCCCACTGTCCTCTCCCACCCTTATCTTCTTTCACTCTTCTTTTGCTCCTTCTTCTTCACTCAGGTTGAAAATCTCTGTTTTCCTTCCACAGTTCATAGCTATGGATAGTGAAGTCACCAAGCCCAAGCCAAAGCCAGTGATGATAGATAACTTTGAAATGCCAAAGAGAGGGAATAAGATCAAAGCCAACGTATTTTGGGGCCCGAGAAAATCTGGGAACAATACGACAACAGGGGAGAATGAAAAAAGGGGCCAGAAAGCCACGGCGAAAGCTTGAATTCTGCAACCCAGTGGGGAAGCTAGCTAGTATGACCCTGATTAAAGAAGCCCTGAGAGAGAGAGAGAGAGAGAGAGAGCGTGTTTAGCAATTATGAAGTATTATGTGGATTCAGGGTTACAGAAGGTCTCTATATGAATGTCTTGTAGTATGTATGGTTCTATTCTGAATATTTTCTTATGTCTTGTTTTGGCTTATTCATAAGAAAACTTCCATTTTCTTCTTCTTCAACATCCCATATCTAATTACTAGAACATGTTTGTGCACCTCATCATACTCCCTTTGGGTTTTTTGTATGAGAGAGAATTGTAGATTTGTATTTCTTTATCCTAGTAAGATTTGGAGAGGCCAAATTGCTCGCCATCTCTCCCTTCAGTCGCTCTGCCTCCTTCCCTACCATGTATGGCTTTCTTCTTCTGATCTCTCCATTTCTGCTCCCTATCACATACACTCACTACTAAGTCAGAGATATTTAATTTAATTTTTATGATTTTTGACTTTTTTTTTAATGGTTATTGCCTTTTTTGAATAGGTCTGAACTATTTGGTAATTCATTTAAAGATTGTATTGAATGGGTGTGTATACGTGTTTTACTGATTTTTTATATTTAGGTTGATGATGACTATGCCATGTTTATTTTGAATATGTGTATACGCAAATATCTATAGTGACAATATTTTAAAATTTTTGAATTATATTATTGAAAGTTAGTTAAAATAGTTACTTAAAATAGATAATATAATTAGAGTAAATTTTAAAAAGTGATTAGTTAAAATAGAGAATTTAATATTTAAATATATTTTTAAATAACTATTTTACTGAACAGGATTGGAGTTCTTCTAAGCTCGCTCGATTCTCAGATTGATCTGACTTATAATTCACTTTTGACTCCGTATTTGATACCCCAAGCTGTGAATTGTTGTTACATCCATAAATAGGTGGGTCGATCTCTATTTCATTTCCCATAAAATTCTAGATTTTTTCGAGGTGGTTCAGTGGCTGAGTGTGACCTTTGAAAATCTAGTGTTATCAGATTCAATCTCTTCTCACACCTTCTATGAGCTTGGCATCATTGTCTCTTTGGAGACATACTCTAATACAGCTCAAGTCACAATAGTTAGTTATTGAACTGGAGAAAGTAATTAGAAAAAACAAAAAGAAAAAAAAAAGTCGAACATTTTCATTAATGGCCATGTAGGGTCGACCACACTGGGACCTTTTCCAACAAGATTAGATCATCTTGTGCAAACTCCAATCCTGTGTAAAAGAAAATTATAGTGCGATATTCAAAGTGTCATTTTGTAAAGCTAAAAAGCTCACAAAAGTGACCACTGCATTGTAGAGATCAGATTCAAAGGACTTGAAATTAAAAGGATCGGATCTTTCTTAAGTCTCCGTTTTGTAATCCGATAACACATAATTAATAAATAAATCAGGTATGAGTGAACCTAATAAAAAAAAATATACGATCCAACTCGTTTATATACCAGTTATACACGATTTATTAAATACAAATAAATAAATGAATCGAATATGATTAAAATATTTTTTGATACGAAAATACTAATATTATACAGGCTTAGTGGTGACAGTCAAAAAGGCATAGAATTTATTAAATTATTGAAAGAAATAAAATAATAATAAATTTTAAGGTATAGTCCAAATCTTTTGTCAGAGCGGGATGCTTCTGAGTGATTATACAAAAACAATAAGACCGAAAATAAAACTTTGACTGTCTATTAACTTTTTCATGTGTTCACACTGTTTGGAACTTTTGTGAATGAAAATTATACATGCCATCTAAACTATAATCCCAATCATTCTCAGTATACCTCTAAATTAGAAATTTGCTCACATCTTGTTGGGGGTAATCAAGTTGTAAAATGAGATTGGAATCATAGTATATGGGTACTAAGGTATAATTTGTCCCCTTTTTTGGGTTTAAGAGTCACTACACTCATGCGGGTGTTCGAGTCGCAAAATTAGTCTTTCCACCGTAACGATAAGATCGAGTATACTTGATTAAGTATTAAGAATTTCGTGTACTGAATAATCCCTTTTTAGTGAGTAATTAGATAATCATGTTCTAGTAACGGTTTTTATGTTTTCAATAATATTATTTAAACTTAATTTAGAACTTATATTGTTGTCCTTGTACTGACAGTGGACTTTCTATAATATTGGAGATCAAAACTGAATAATGAAATTATCTACTACATATATGTGCAGACATAGATAAGTGTGTATTTATACAAAGGAAAGAGAGACAATGGGTGTATAAGAAATTGAATTGGGACAAAACCATATTTAAACTTGCAAGTCTATTTGAGATGGTTAACTCCAACTCGAGAGTAGGACTGATAATTGAATCGAGTTTTTCGGATTTAGTTCAGGTAGTACTCGACTCAAGAAGTCAAATTCGAATAATTTTTTGGAAAACGAGCTTAAAAGATTCAGCTCGAGCTCATAAAGTTTGGCTTATTATATATAAAATAATCGAACTATTCGCGTTTGATTCATTTTCTAAACGAACTGAACTTAAACAATTTATTACACTCGTTTAAGAAAGCAAACTTGACAAATTTAATTCGATTATTAACTCTACTTGAGAGCGGGGAGGTCACCGGATCGATTCTACTATCTACCAAGTAGAGTAGTAATAATAATAATAAAAAAAAAAGTAGTAACAAGAAAGGAGACTTTATTGGCGGCTTAGCTGTGGGTGAGCATCAAACAATAAGACATGGGCCCTTGATATGCTGCTGTAGCTTGCCTTTTGATGTCTTGGTCAAATAAATTTCAGTCACAACTACACTTTTGTTAGTGGTTGAAAATCTTTGAAAACCAAGGAGTTGCCGGTCCAAGTTGGCCAAAACTCCCACGAAGGTGTGCTGATTTTTTCACAAACTTTGTCAACAACATGGCCTATGATTATCATCTTTTGTGCATTTCCACAACCGACTTAAAACTCAAAATAAAGAACGTTCTTATCCAAATCATGAGTGAAAAGAAAATGTTGTATATATCTAATATAAAATGCGTCGATAAATTAAGACTATGACGTTTAAGAAAAAAGTCTAAAACAACTACAAAACTTATAACCGAATAAAATAGAAATGTTACAAAAGTTGACTCATTAAATTAGCAGCAAAATGTATAGAAGAAAAGCTATCGGAATCTACAGAAAAAATGAACAAGAGAATTATCTCTAAAAAATGTATATTATTCAATAAATAATTCGCATTATATAAGAGAATATACATAAGAATAGCCAAAATCGTAACCGTCTCCATAATAAAGGCTAAACCCTTAATTATATGAAAATTACCAAAAAATAAAAAATTACAATATAGCTAATTAACATAAAAACAAGTGTCGTCTGGAGTCTAAAAAAATTGATGACACTGAATTCAGAATCTCTTATGATTTATTATTAATTTTTAAATTATTTTCTAAGATGATAAAAAAAAAAAAGGTTTTTAAAGCTAAACAATTGAATTCAAACTAAAACTGAAGAAGCTCACGGTGAAATAAGTCTCGATCATTGTCCGGATTTGAATCAAACACCACTGGTTTGAATGAATTTTTAATTCAACCCATTTTGTATATAATATTTTTTTTTTTTAACTTTTCGTTGGCCTTTGAATGTACGACAGTCTTCTTATTTAAAGTAATTAGTTATGACATGTTTTACATCAAGGATGCAAATGCAAAATGAGCTCGACTCTCGATAAAAAATATTCATTATAATAGTGATAATAAATCATATGTTGTGTTAGTGAATTATACACGTACTTAGTAATAATATGATATCAAATTATATTGATTAATTACTATCGCGGGCCCCAAATTATTCATAAATGGAGAAAGATGAAAAAGAATTTGACAAAAGTTCTTGTTGTGACCAATCATTATCCCTAGCTGATTTTGAGCAGCCCACTTATGCTGGAAATAGCATAAGTGGGGGCCTTGAATTGAATATTTGGAATTTGGTTCTCTGCTCCGGGAAAAGTGAAAGACAAGCTGATGAATGAAAGGTAGCAGGTAGATTGGCAGCATGTGGGGTGGAACCCAATTTTGTCTCCAACAAGACTTTATCTTTTGAATTCAATGTGTTACGTCATGAGCTTATGTCATGAGTGTGTCATACATGCCACATGCATGTCGTGCATGGGTAAACTTGGAGATTGCAACTAAATAAAAATTCAAGCAATAATACGGACCAATAAGAAAATCGAGACGTACTAAATTCGAATTTTGACAATTTTTTGATACTTAATTATAAAAGATTTATCTTTCATAAATACCTTAATTATAAAGTGGATAACTTGTCTTTAATTAAATTAAAAAAGAACATGTAACTGATCGAAATACTGTTTTTATTTCTCTTTTTTTTTTTTGGGAGAAAGAAAGAGAAGAGGGACTTGAACTCTTAACCTCAAAAAATCGAAACCTTTACAAGAGAATGGGTCCATTTGAGTTGTTAAGTCTCTTCTAATAGCATCGATTTGGTGCCGAGTTCAAAACTCTTGAGGTCAAGGAAAGTAAAAGGGATCTTTGATCCAATAATATTATTTATTTTGTGAAGATTTTGTCTTCTTAAAGTTAATTATTCAAGTCTCATTCTTTTCTTTCCCAAAAACAATATAGAATTTATTGGGTTTTGAGTTCAAAACTTTCCCTCCCTTCGACTATAGCACCGCCAAAAAAAAAAGGTCCTAGATAATTAAGGTAATATTGTGTTTAGTAAGAAGGGAACGGAAATGGAAGAGAAAGAAAAAAAAAAATTTAGGAAGGCTAGAAAAAGCAGATGAAAAGTAAAACTTATTTTCTCTTATTTGGTGGGGAGAGTGAAAGAGTAGAGACTAAAAGAGAGTAATAAAAAAGATAGTAGAAAGTGAAAATTTTGAAAAATCACCTTTCTCTATTTGTCCTTGATTGGTTCGGGAGAAGAGAAAAATGATTACAAGATAAATTGAAGAAGGGCAAAAATGGAAACATATTCATTGTTTGGTTAGGAGAAAAGGTGAGAAGAATTGAAAAGTTTTTCTTCTCTTTTGCTGTTTTCGTTACCTTTCTCTCCAGACTTGTTTGGTTAACCAGAAAAAGACAATGAAAAACAAAAGTAATAGAAAATAAAGTAAAATAAAATATATTTTTTCATGCATTAATTTAATTAGCAAGAAAAACTTCAAAGAAAGTTTTAAAAATTTTCATTGCATTATTTAAAAGAAAGAAAAGTTACAAAAAAAATTCTTAATTTTTAAATTATCCTTGAATATATTAAAAAAAAAATGAATTATAATTAAAAAAAAAAAAAAAAAAAAGGATTATAACCTAGTTCTAGGATAGTGATCGATGCAAACTCATATCTCTGAACTAGATTATATGTAGTTAGCCTAACCAATACCAAGTTTTTTTTAAATTAATAACTATTTGAATATTTTTAAAAAATATAGAAAAAATGGAAAGTGAGGCTATTGATTACAACTTTCTTACCTTTTCTTGTATTTTTTGTAAGAAAAAAATGTGGTTAGTTGTAAGAAAATCTAAGTATAAAAATTATTTTTTTTTTCATTTCATACTAACTAAACAAAAATTTAAAAATTGACTCTTCATTACATTTTTTACCATTATCCCGCTAAACAAACGGACCTAAAGGAGTCACACCATTTCCCTTTGGGGTTGATGTTGATACATGCTTCTTCTTCCTTCAATAAATACTGCAGTTTATCTAACCATCTCCTAAAGGAAAGAGATGGAAACCATTGAACAATTTATGAAGATCCAAGTTCGTAGAAGATACAGTAACAACTAACCTTTTTCTAACACAACACCCCATCACCTAATCTCACACCTTCCGGTAGGGAGGTTAGACACAGGCCACCAAAGCCCAGCCAATTCCATCACCAGAATAAGCTTCAAAAAGCATGGTGCCCCACCGGGGATTCTGGTGATCCTACTGTTACATGGCTCTAATATTAGCACCACCTAACAGCCTACAAAGGCGCACCATGACGCAACAGAAAAAATTGTTTCATTATAACTTTAAAGTCACGGATTCATGTCGTGAAAATAGCTTCTCTCATTGTAGGGATAAAACTACGTATATCTAACACTCTCTAAACCCAGTAATGGCGAGAACCTTGTGTACTAGATACGTCTTAACACCCTACAGGTGATAAAAAGTAAAAGATTTGAATCCGGGAAAAATGCAATACCAAAACCACAAGCACCAGAATCCAATGGGAAACAATAAAAGAGTTCAATCCAACCATTAGTGTTGTAGGGACAAAAGGATGTATATCTTAGAAAGTTCTGATCCTTAGACCAATTTTATGTTAACAAGGCAGGCAATCTGAATCAGAACTTGGACTCTGCCTTACAGAAAACAATAAATCACATTCCAACCGCTAACAGAAACACATGAAAGCGCAACATTCCCAGGTTAGAATGTGAATTATCTACCCAGCAGTAATCAATTTAAAAGGTGAACACCGCAGTTGAAAGCCCCTCTTCAATTCCATGTCAAAACATCTCCCCCTCTTCCCCATTCAAGATGAAGTCTCTATGCCAGGCTCTCGGATTTGAATAGATGTTCTCAACAAAGTCGCCTCAAGTTCGTCTAACTCATTAATGTCCAGGTCGTCATCATCATCATCATCCACGTCAGACACTACTTCTTCCGGATCAGCACCTGCACCTGTGGAGCTGCTTGGTCTCTCTGCAGAAGGATTTCCCTGGACCTGCAATTAGAGACAGTAGCAATAAAGAACTTGCTAATGGATTCGAGTATGTATTTCCATGCAAATCCGGTGCTGTTGGGAATGTTCATATGCAAAATAAACTACTCAAAATTGTTTTAACATACCAAGATTGTAAGTTAATTTTCAGTTTTCACAACTTGTGAAATTAAGACTACAATTTTACTGCACCAAAAACATTCCTTGACTACTTTCAGCACCTAAATGGGCACATTGAGTACAGGCTGTCCTTTTGCCTATTGCCCTTCAACAGCCCAAGAAAACATCACCAACAAGTCCAAAACTTTTCATTAGCTACATGCTCACAGAGTGCAGGAACTGCTCTTTCCTTTACTGTCCACAACATAGCTCAAGAAACCATTCACAAAAAAGGGTTATAACTTTGTAAATTTATAAACTTCCACGTTCTTTAGACATAGTTCTGATTCTGGAAAAAGAATAAATCTAGAAATTAATAATGTCGTGTTTGGACACCAATAAAAATCCGAGTTATAATCTCCTATGCAGTGCTGTATACCAGTCTCTTCTTTTTTATTACTAGTAATAAGAATTGAACCCCACCACCAATGGTGTTTGAAACCTAGCGCCCTCTCTGCTGTAGCCCCACCTTCACCATTAGGCGAGGCACCAACTGTATAAGTGTATTATGTTTCACAATTCACTACGTGAAATTATCTTTATTTACTCGGTGATCACGAGGACAAAAGTTCTTCTGTTTTACTTGGTGAACATGGCAATTTCTCAATGTTAACAACTATACACAAAGTTTATCAATAAGAAGAGTTTTCATAGTAATAATTCAAGTTGACTCCTATTGCAGTGCGTACAGTTTCCTAAAAAATAGGAAATCTGCATGAGCCTTTAATAAGAGAAATTTCCAACTTTTAAACAGAATGCAAACTACATGACTCTTAAGGCCTCGAAAATTCCTGAGATCCTTATAAACCACAGAAGATTAAGCTTTTTTGCTAATTCAAGACTTAACTTGTATGCAAGTGAAAGTTCCACTAGTGAACGAGGAAACAGTAAATCATAATTTGAGTCAAAAAAAAGCTGCAATTGTCACCCATTGCAAAATATATATGGCCTACGATCAGGCTGAAAGGTGTAGTTGATCGACAACAAGTGATTACTCCTGTACTTTAGCCAACAGGTGGTTTTTGATTCAAGGAAGGTGACCCTGCTTTTCCGGGTTAGAAGGGGTAGAGAAAAATGCTTCAAGCTACATATTGTTAGCGCTACATTTCACATAAATAAGCAATTAGTATCCTTTTTTTGATGTACATAGAGACTTCTCATTAAATTGACAAACATTAAACAGCCGCTGTAATGTGGGTTGACACAATTCCGACAAGATTCAGAGATTATGAATGAATTCTATAACAAAGTAGAGCAAGCAAGGCTACCTTCTTCTCGGTAACATCAGACTCTTCTTCCCTCTGGTACTTTTCATACGCCTCAGCATCATCCACGAATAAACTAGAATCTGAAAGAAACAGCTCACGACCACTGCAGAAGCAAGGAAGGAAGTTGCATTAATAGCAATGGAATTTTTATCTAACTGAATTAAGCATGAAGGAGATAATGGAATTATCCAACTGGAATTAATCATGAAGGAGATGACTACCTCATACGGTCATTCTTAGCCCTCTCAGCTCGCTGGGCCGCCAAGCCAGCTTCTCTTTCTTCCATCTTTTTCTTCTTCCATTGAAAGAAGTACTCAGTAGTCATCGGAGTTGAAGTCGTCAGTTTTGCACGCTGAAATAAAATCACAGCCACAATTTAAAAGATATTGAAAGTACATTAAGGACAAAAGGAGGGAGCAAAGAAAATAACTCGCCAATAAAACAGGAGGATAATTTGCAAATGACAAAGATATTCCTTCTGCATCTATTTTATCATATTAAGGAATACCATATTTTGGCTCTCAGGCAATTTGATGTTTGGACGTCAACTACCTATTTCTTTTATTGCAACTTTGTAGTCTTTGCTCAATAATAACCATCTCAAAAAATAAAAAAATTTAACCTTTGTATTTCTCAGAAAACTAAGAAGAAATGGTTTTGAAACTCCAATCAGGGTCGTACACTACCCCATCTAATTACAAATAACAGGAAGGCGGAATAATAATCAGTGAGAGCAGTAATAAGTTGATCACCTGATTTTCAATCTCTTCCTCAATAGGTATCCGATCAGCCTCTTCCTCTAAAAGCGCCTTCATCTGGGACTTCAACACATATCCTGGAGGAAGTGCATGTCTATAGTGACAATCTTTGCCACCATTTGGGCAATCCCAAAACCAACCGTATTGTTTCTTCTCCACTGCTTCCAGGAAGTACTTGCACACCTGCTCGTAGGATCGTTAATGTTCAATTGATGTAGATATCGTGTTCCAAAATAGCCCACATTTCACAAGGTTCCAACAGTATTTGCACATAAAATATAAACTGAGTAAACCACATACAATATACATATGCATTTATTACTTCTTTCAATTAAATAATGAAACAATAACCATGAATTATATTCTATATCAAACCATTTTTTTTCAGTGACAAACAACCTATGATGATGTTTTGCAAAGGGGTACCATTTGCTGATACACCAATAACACTTTTTTTCTTGTTTTGTAACGGACGACCAATTTCATGAAAAAAGTGAAAGGCGAAACTTACAAATATCACCAACACCAAATTCAAGAATCATGTGTAATATATGTCTAAATGTTTAGCAGAATTTTTTTTTTTTTGNTGAAGGAGATGACTACCTCATACGGTCATTCTTAGCCCTCTCAGCTCGCTGGGCCGCCAAGCCAGCTTCTCTTTCTTCCATCTTTTTCTTCTTCCATTGAAAGAAGTACTCAGTAGTCATCGGAGTTGAAGTCGTCAGTTTTGCACGCTGAAATAAAATCACAGCCACAATTTAAAAGATATTGAAAGTACATTAAGGACAAAAGGAGGGAGCAAAGAAAATAACTCGCCAATAAAACAGGAGGATAATTTGCAAATGACAAAGATATTCCTTCTGCATCTATTTTATCATATTAAGGAATACCATATTTTGGCTCTCAGGCAATTTGATGTTTGGACGTCAACTACCTATTTCTTTTATTGCAACTTTGTAGTCTTTGCTCAATAATAACCATCTCAAAAAATAAAAAAATTTAACCTTTGTATTTCTCAGAAAACTAAGAAGAAATGGTTTTGAAACTCCAATCAGGGTCGTACACTACCCCATCTAATTACAAATAACAGGAAGGCGGAATAATAATCAGTGAGAGCAGTAATAAGTTGATCACCTGATTTTCAATCTCTTCCTCAATAGGTATCCGATCAGCCTCTTCCTCTAAAAGCGCCTTCATCTGGGACTTCAACACATATCCTGGAGGAAGTGCATGTCTATAGTGACAATCTTTGCCACCATTTGGGCAATCCCAAAACCAACCGTATTGTTTCTTCTCCACTGCTTCCAGGAAGTACTTGCACACCTGCTCGTAGGATCGTTAATGTTCAATTGATGTAGATATCGTGTTCCAAAATAGCCCACATTTCACAAGGTTCCAACAGTATTTGCACATAAAATATAAACTGAGTAAACCACATACAATATACATATGCATTTATTACTTCTTTCAATTAAATAATGAAACAATAACCATGAATTATATTCTATATCAAACCATTTTTTTTCAGTGACAAACAACCTATGATGATGTTTTGCAAAGGGGTACCATTTGCTGATACACCAATAACACTTTTTTTCTTGTTTTGTAACGGACGACCAATTTCATGAAAAAAGTGAAAGGCGAAACTTACAAATATCACCAACACCAAATTCAAGAATCATGTGTAATATATGTCTAAATGTTTAGCAGAATTTTTTTTTTTTTGCCCTGGAAAAATGAACTTGCCCACATTCATGGAGTTGAAAGTCAAATATAATGCCAAACAACACTTCCATATATTTTAGAGGTTCAGTCAAATTTTTGCATCTGCCACCCAAACTTCTCACAACTCCCAAAACTGTAAAACATGGGAAAAAATATTTAAAAAGTCCATTTTTTCAGAACTTCACTTGTGACAAAGAAGGGGCCACAATTCAAACAGAAGACGAGGCCAATTTTTTAACAACAGAATTCAATTGACTTCAACAATCCAATCTGAGAAACTCAGTTGACTAGCCTTTCTTGTAATGACCCACCAATGCGATAAGTGTCAGTCTCCGTAACTTCATCTTATAACCTACAACTGCCAAAACATACCTGTCCCATCAGACAAAGGGTGACTTGTACTTACAGGCCAACATTTGAAACACCAATATACATGTTTCGAACAAGCTTAAGAAAGACACGAGTTGATGAACTATCACATCCTTTCAATAGCACTATTATTCCCAAGGATGTAAGCTCTTACACCAAGGTTAACAGCAAGTACACATGATATATTGCACGTTATTATGCACATAAGCAGTCATCCCTAGCACCACAAGGCAGTATAAAAATTATAACAGTCAATTAACTAAAAATTGCTTTTCCAACACAAAACACAAGTGGGAAACTATATGAACAGTCCCTACACTACCACACTGGGCAGCATGGGTGTGAAAGTCCTTGTCATGAAGAAATCAATGCTACACTCAACAATTAGTATCTGGATCTAAATTACCTCATCCTGAGCCAACGCACAGTCACCATCAGATGTATAGGGTAATAAACTTAGCATTTCATAAAATTTAATTATGGGGCCCATAGCAACATATATACACAATAAAACAATATTCGCACTTGCACCAGGAGTTGGAACTCCAAGAAAGAGACAGAGGAACACTTAAAAGAAAAGGAAAAGGTTTCCTTTTTCCATGTGCATAATTGATCACAAAACATACCACAGTTCAACATAGTATGGCTAAAATGGACTGAAACATACAATATCAGTTGGTTTGTTCTGGTTATACTGTTTATTGTTGAACTCAACAACTTTCTCCAATGTCTCTAGATCCCAGTCCTCCATTGTTTCTTTGTCACGGGAAATACACACATGCAACAAATAGAACAAAATCTCAAATCAGAAATGATTACAACTAATAAATGAATAACCAAAATAAGAACCTAAACCATTATTATATCAACTGAAATGCTAATTCCATTACCTTCGTCCCGTTTATCACTGTAAATGTCAATCTTCTCACCCTTCCTTTGTACATTCAGATCATGTGAAAACTTGCATTTAAAACCCTTAGCACACTGACCCACCTTGAAAAATTCGCATACTATAGACTTCGGATCAACACCTTGTAAAATTGAAAGAAAAAAAAAGCTTTCTCGTAAATATATCAATCCAAGGAACAATGTCAACGATTATATTGCTAGTAAGTTTGTTGTGTGTGTGTGTCTGTCCCAGTAAGTTTCAAACCCTGCAAGCGCTGGCAATGCAAAATAGACAAAAAAACATTGTTTGTAGCCAAACTGCGAATAATACTTCAAAGAAGAAAACCCCACAAAATTGGATTACTGAGACTCAGAGCTGAGTCCGATCTTCACTTTATTCTTCAATAAGTTTTGTTATAAGCAGACGCGCATTTAATTACATATCCCAAAAGAAATTTTGAACTCAGAGATCTATATAATACATCAGCTAGCTATTTGAAATTTTATCCCCAACACATTTCCCACCCCTAAATCCATCCCATCCTCCTTCACCTCACCCGTCACTCCATTGTCAGAGAAGCCACACTTTTTTTTTTGAATTGCACCGTGACTAAGGCACAGGTTACCCTAGTAAAATTATATGTTGTCTTTGTAAGCATACGTATTAAAACAAAAAGAAATTGCATACCAACTGGAACTTTGGGCTGAACAACAGCAATCTTGAACAGCTCATTCAGCTCCTTCTCTCTTGCTTTCTCTTCTTCTTTCTTCTTCTGCTCATACAAATTGATTTCCATAAATAAATCAATAGCGACTGCAAAAAATTTAAAAAAACACAGAAAAATAAATAATTTGAATCTGGAAGTGAGACAAAACGAACCTTTGCGGCGGTTTTACTGGGATCGAGCTTGGGTTGTGCGGCCTGTTGAATAGACTGAACATATTTCTGAACATTTTTGCTTTTGTTCTTGTTCTTGAGCCCAAAGGTCTTATCTTCTACAACTTTCTGTTTCTTCGCCAAGTCCGCTTTCGATTGCTGCTTTGGAGGCATAGTTGATTGGCAATTGGTACAGTTTAACTTTGTTTTATACAAATACAGGGCTTGAAAGAAGAAGATATTGTCCGATCTACGAACAATTATTCGGCTTTTATTGAATTTTAGAGGAGAGAGAGAGAGAGAGCTCTCCGTATGTAATTTGGGAGTTTTGGAGATTAGAGAATCGAATGATGATAATAAAACCCTACACTCCAGAGTCCAGGCGGAGGAGAAAGAGGTAACGAACTAGCCGGTTTATAGAGCAGATCGCCCGACCCGATTTTTGAGAGATAATTAGATCTATAACCTATAATATAAAACACAGCGGGCTTCAATAAGTCGATCGGACGGTCACGATTCATTTCATCCAATGGTCATAGATTTTCGCATTCCCTCTCAAATTCATCATTTTTAACTCACAAATTTATTCAAAAATCTTATCGTTCAGTCACTTCATCTGTCAGCAGTCACTTTTTCTCCTCGGTACAACTGAAAAACCCTTCTGTCAGACGCTGTAACAGGCCATCACTCTCTATTTGTTTCTTCTTACCAGCAACATCACCATCAAAGCCGAAGCCAACAACACCACCACTGTCTGTCTCTCTCTCTCTCTCTCCCTCCCTCCTTCTGTTTCTTCTTACCACCATCCATCGCCGAAGTCAGCAACACCACCACCGCCCTAGCGACACCACTAGCAACATCGCACCGCCGCTGCTAACCCCTCCCAGGTATGCCTCATCTCTCTCTCTCTCTCTCTCTCTCACACACACACACACACACACACACACCCATCCTACCCCCGCCTCTTCCTTACCCTCTTCTACGCACTCATCACCCCCACACAAATCGCACACACACACACACCCAAAAGAAACCCACCACGCACCCATTCACCCACGATTTACTTTGGTTGTTTCAGAGACTGATTTTTTGAGGATTCAGTGCTAACTTTTTTTATTCAAATTTCTTTTTTCTTTTTCTTTGTGCAGCATTCTATTGATTACTAGCATAATGTGGGTTTGCAATATTTAAGGCATGAATTCTATTCTCCCAACTGCAATATTAGTTTATTAGGTTGAATTATTGAAGGGAATCCAATATGTACTCATGGATTTGTGTCTGCTGTTGAGGTTTTTTTTGCTTAGAGGTCGGATTACTGGTGCTTATTTTTGTTGATTTGACGATTGTTATTATTATGCCTGGGTTTTGGTATTTTTTTAATTGATTCAAGATGATATCATTGACATATATTCAGAGCTTGTTTCTCTTTCTGTTTATGGATTTATTCTTGGTAGTTATCATCCACAATAATATGTGGTAGGTTTGTGTTTTTAACTTAATGTCACATTTGTTATTGGTTGATGGAGTTGCTTCGAGTTCAATGATATGTTTATGACTTAATGTGAGAGAGGTAACATTTTTGAAAAAGGATTCTATAATATAAAACACAACGGGCTTTAACAAGCCGATCGGACGGTCACAATTCATTTCATCCAACGACCCACAATCATCCACAATTTCATCATTTTTTATCCACAATATTTTTCAAAATTCTGCCCTCTCATCATTATTCAGTCACCTCACCCACCGTCTCTTCTGTTTTTCCCCTCCCTTCTGTTAGACAGTCATGCCTCTCCGGCTACAACTCCTGTTTCTTCTTCTTTTTTTTTTCACCCTTTCACTCATTCAAAATTCTGACCTCTCTCACTCTCACTCTCTTTCTCTCTCTCTGTTACGCGATTCCAGGCGATCGATCAGCCACTGCGAACAGGCGATCGAAGGCAGAACAAAGTCGATCTTCCTTAGTTCCTTGGCGATTTGCTTCACGCAACAGGTACCTTACTCACCGAGTGACGTTACATACCTAAAAACAAATATTGCTAGATGTTCTTGATTTGGGTTTAATCAATTACATACCTATGTTATTGAGTTTTTTTATGGGCTATGTGATTTTTCTTTGTTCACCTCCATATATTCATGTGATGTTTTCCCTGCGTAGCACACACAAACAAACCCAATACACCCATACCCAACACAGACCCAGCACCCAACACAAACAAACCCACACACTTTGGACACCAAGTGTTTGTTGGAATGTCCGACAAAAATTTTGTTGTTTTTTTTTTTTATTATTTGTATTATTATGAATTTTCTTCATGTAGACTTATATTTCGTTTCAGAGTCGGTCACTACTTTAGTTTTAGCAAATTTTCTTTGATCCCATTAGACTAACGTTGATTAGAACCTTGGAGCTTTGACAGATGAAGAAAAAAATTTAGCCTTAATCTTGACTAGTTAGGTGATGACTATGCAATTTGAATTTAATGAGTCTACACGAGGGCATGCACTTTGCAAAACACAAGCATGACATTGTGCTAAACAATGGCTCTTATATTTGTGTGTGTGTGTGTGTATGTGTGTGAAATGCGAAGTACATTGTCAATTGGGGTTTGTTTGATTGCTGAATTTTGGACAGTACATTTTAACTTGACATTATTTTGGGCGTGTTGTTTGGAGAAGTTTACGTGTGTCATTACACACGATCAATTGACATTATTTTTTAGACACTTTCAATGCTTGGATAGGTTGACATTATTACATGTTTTCTTGGTACTTAATTGTTAGTTTTTATAGGTTGACACTATTTACATGTTTTCTTGGTACGTAATTGTTAGTTTCTTGTAATGTGATTAAAGTTAGAGGTTCCTATTTACATTTTTGGTATTTACATGTTTGTTCAGTTACCTTTGCTTATTTTGATGCTCTTTAATAACAGTCCCTGAACTAAGGTATTACAACTTTGGTGTTTGGGTTTTGGACTTCCCCTTTCTTTGCCTGTTATTATTTTGTCTATAAAGATTGATTTTTTAGTTTATTATTCTGAATACGGCATACGTGGTAGATCTTTTTGTATACTGCATACGTGGCTTTGACCACGATAAAAAAAAACGTGTTTTGCATAGGGACACCTTAGCCTAATAGTTATACAAAGTGCAGTATATGGGTACCTAATATACATCTATAATCCCAAAACATTTCCATTGCCCAGCACCATGAGAAGTGGAAAAGGGTCAATGCATCAAAATTAATTTGGACATTTACAACCAGTCGTTTGCAAAATAAAAACGCCTGTCCAACTTGCAAAATAAATGACATATTAGGTGGAAATATAAAAAATGAGATTAACCACCATGATAAGTAATGGTGTGTACTAACAGCATATCCACCTTGGTGTTCAATGAAATTAGTCATTTAAATTTTTTGGGGAATTAATTGGTTGGTTTACATTGCACTGTACTTTTAAAATTTTGAAATTATGTTAGTTGGTGTTGTCATATACCAAGAAGGGTTCTCTCTCATTATCTTACTACTGAAGTTGTGCTTCTTTATTTTGTTGTGCTTGACTTTTTATGTTGGCCATTTGATTTCNTAGTTTTTGTTCAGATCACACACATGCTAGCAAGGTGGGTTGGTTTCTTTTCTATCTGACACTCAAAATAACAAGGCGCCATTGTTGAAGTGGCATTATTAATGTATACCTTTAAACTGTTTGATGAAATGCTACAATTGCGTCTACCTTTCTCATTCTCACATAACTCTCTTTCCCCCTATTTTTCTCACACAAACACACACCCTCTGTATNTGGCTATATACTTGGCGAATAAATGTGTCATGCTACTTACAATAATTTATGTTTTTTTTTTATTAATTCTTCTATTTGTACATTAAACCCAATGCTTATTTCCTTCTTTTTTTTTGGGTAACCTTGCATTGCACAGAGTGAATGTTTGTGGAAGTGTTGATTTTATGTTAATTTGGTGTCAGAACACACAACACACACTCTTGTAGAACCCCTCCCTGTTACCCCCNCCTCTCTTGAAACCTCCACTGAAACATACCCTTTCCCAAACCCTCTATATTTCACCCACACACACAATCCATTTCTCTGAGCACAACACCCACCATACATCACATACCCATTTTGGTGCACTTCATACATCACACACACGCTGAAAACCCCTCCCATTTCCCTTCCCCTGTCCTCTCTACTCCCCCCCCCCCACCAACCGCTTATACGCAGAACACACACACACACAGAGCACATAATTGGTGTTAAATTTTGATCTTAATTTGTTGCTAATACATACTCCACACAATATTGTATACTCTACCATTGATTTTTTATTATATAACCATTTAATGGGTTAAATTTATGTCCGTCTTTGATAGGTAACTATTCTTATGACATTCATTGGATTATATTCTTTGGGTTTTAATCAAGAAACAGAAGTGATGAAACCTAGGAAGCGGTGAAAAGAATTGTTAGGCTCTATTATAATTGTTTGAAATTTAGTCCTATTGGTAATTCTCTATTTTGATTTATTGTAATGTTCTATTTTTGATTTTGTATGGTTAAATTTTATNAGTTTTTTCGTTATTCATTAATGAAGTTTGCAAATTTTTAACCATTAACATGTAAACTTTACACATTGTATTTCCTTTGGCANTAAATTTTATTGGGACTTGAATATCTGATAAAATTATATGGAATAGACATGAAATTTAGTCTCAACATGATTATTTTGGTATATATCATCTATCAATCATGTGGATGATTAGTGGCCTAACCCTTTTAATGATTATGATGTTCACTAAAATGGGTTTGAAGGCAGACTCGAGTACTTGTGTCGTAGAGAAATCACATATCTTTGGAACCCTATTTGCAAAGGTTTTCAAACTAGGTTACTAAAGGTTCTGGATTACAGCATTTACTTTTGTTTAATGAATAACACCTTATTCGAGTTTCTTGTAATGTTTCATAATTCATTCACAAGTCTTTGAATCTTTCTAGCTTATNCGCACGTGACTCCACACCATCACCAAGGATAATCATTGTATTGTGGTGTTTTAGTAATTTTTGTAGTAATCATTTCACACGTTGCTTCCTATCTTAGGCACCGGCAAAAAATTACACTTCCTCTAAAAGTGAGGCCCAACGCGCCAGACGTGAGCGAAGTCGTAATGATAGTGACACGTGCTCACC